GGGGGCGGAGGGTTTGGTGGAGGCGGGTTTGGAGGAGGCGGGTTTGGGGGCGGCGGGTTTGGTGGAGGAGGTTTTGGGGGAGGGGGATTCGGAGGTGGAGGGTTTGGTGGTGGCGGGTTTGGGGGCGGAGGTTTTGGAGGCGGTGGACTTGGGGGGGGAGGGTTTGGTGGGGGCGGGTTTGGAGGCGGGGGCGGGGGCACGCACGCAGCTGTAGAGCAGATATGCAAGACCGTTACGGGCCAGAATTCAGGAGCTCGTGGTGAAATCTGAAACGCAACCAACAAGGCCAAATGCAAAGAGATTGCCATCGCGTCTTCGTCAGGCTTGGCCGAACAGCGGCCCCTGGCCTCGAGATGAAGAAGATGAAGAATCTTGCATCCGCTTCGAAATGGGATTGTCCCTTCTACCGCCTCCGTCCAACACAATCGTCTTCCCGCCATCAATGATGGAGCAATTCAGGTAAGAGAGCCTTCTGCACTCACAGTCCGCGATGCAGGTGCCCGAGTTGATCTGCGTGGTGTACTGCAGTTCGCCAGCAAGAATGATGGTCAGCAGGCAGACTAGTTGAGTGATCGAGGAGATACGTTGTGCCATTGTGCAAAGAGAAATGCCATGCATAGAACTGGTCATGGCGTGCAATATCGAAGGCTTGGCTTCGATTCAGAGTGCTTGATTATCAAAGGAACTTGTGCATCAAAGCAGGAACTTACCAGCGGTAGATCTTCCGGTGGACAGAAGGTGATATTCTGAAGCTCGCAACGAACGTCGTTCAGGGCCCCGTTTTGTTGCTGAAAGTGAAGCGACCGGAAGGTGAGCTTAGATCTTGGGATGGCGATGCTTATAGATTGGTCAGAGCATTGACCGATCGGTGAAAAGCATGCGGCTTCGACCGTCCGAAGCGCGTTTGTTGTTTGAAATTCAGCTCGTATAGCAGAGACGCTAAGAGAACCTGGCCTGGGACGCCAACGTGTGCCTGGACGTTTTGTCAAGCGGCGTTCATTTGCATACCTTGTCATTCCTTCGGAGATTCTCACACAGGAAGGCAAACGCCCGACTACCGCAAGCTATGCTCACCTTGTTGTTATAGAAAGTGGTATACGTATTGGTAATCGTTCCCGAGGATGAATAGCGGATAGCTCCACCATTGTTGTTCTGCACGCAAATTGCAGAATATATCAAAGTTTGGAGCTCCTGAAGCACCATCTTCCTGATCAGATTGTTCAAGCCACAAACTCCGCAATCGGCCAATTTCAAGAACAGTAGAGTGACTTTCATAAATCGTGAATGATTCTAGACGTGGGGCTGCTTCTACCTCGACCAATATACGCAGCTTGTTGCAAGAAGCAGGGGACCTATTAAAGGAACAAGCTTCCAATCTGCTACTAGACTGGCCGGATGCCGCCGCAACCAACTCATCAGCAGAAAGCAGAAAGTATGATCTACTTACTCCCGTGACCGAGTTGTTGGCAAAATAGTTGTTGTAAAGAGTGCCAGGCGCGGAACCCTCCAGGGCCGCGCCGCCTCCAGCGCGAGCAATGTTTCCCGCGAACGTGCAAGTGCTGATTGAGAACCAGGCCGAGTTTTGAAGGAAGATCGCACCTCCACGCTGCACATGCGGAGCAGGGTACGATGATCTAGCGGGTCCGCTCAGACTTCGACCAGCGAAAGAGTCTCACACTTTACATCTTCCACTTGCTAACGGAAAACAATTCAAGTAAGCTTGTCATCAGAGTTCAAGCTTTGTCTGCAGAAATGAAACGCGTAGATTGATTTGGTGACTCAAATAGTCCATTCCCAGGTAGAGACTGGCTTCCAGAATCTGGACAATCCATCTCCAGCTTCCGATCACCTAGCAGAGGAGGTACCGGGAACGAAGAAGCAGGCTTCGGAAAAGATGTCTGACGAAAGATGAGGGCAGAACAGGAGGACAAGGCAGAAGCTTTGAGCTCAGGTCAACGTACGAACTTACATTGCTTCCTGACGCCGTGTTTGTAGTGAAAGTAGAGTTCGAGACGGTGAAAGAAGGTCCCCCACTGATGTAAATCGCCCCGCCATGGAGAGTGGCAATGTTGCTCGTGAAGGTGGAGTCGGCAACTGCTAATTGTGCATAGACAGAAAAGAGGGCAAGAGCACCGCCGTTTTGCTGCAAGGAGGATAGAAATTTTCTCCAAGAGTCCTTATCATCTCAATCGGATGGGACTCCGACGGATGACAGCTGAAGCCAACAGAGTCTAAACTCAGGAGGCAGCCTCTTTGTTTTGTCTATGGCTCACTCGACTGGAATCCAAGAGAGCCGCTTTAGCCACGTGACGGATAAGGACCCCCAGTTATGGCAAGGAAGGCCTCCTGGCCGTTGTGCCTTTACACTTACTCGCTCGTTTTGTAAAAACATGTCCAGATTTATTGCGAGCCAAGGGTCACCCACCGTGGACTCTAAGCTCTTCGTCAGATCACTGGCGCACAGTTAAAAAGGGCTAAGCCGACACTCCAAGCCAGGAAACTGCTTACCTTTGCGACGTTGCCAATAAAGTCAACGCTTTGAACTGCAATATAGCTGAAAGATGCAGCATTTGGGGGGGCGCTTCTGAGTGCCCCACCGCTCAACTGCACGCAAGTATCAACAGTGTAAGCCCTTGGGTTAAGATTCTCAAGATCCAGTTGAGGATCTCAGCAGATACCAACTTTACCATTGCAAGGCTTCAAATTGCGAACATGCGACAAGGGAAGCCAATTCTTCCATCTGCTAATTGATGAAGATATGTTGAGAGGAGGTCAAAATTGTTGCACCCTTTGCCCACTTTATCCGATTCTGCGAAGCAACCTATCTATCAGTTTGCGTATACGGCCAGATCTGGGCCCGGTCTGAGACGGAACCATAGCGGTCTTTTCAGAAATCTGATAATGACGATGCACTTACTGTTGTCCCGTTGCAGTTCTGTATCCTTAAGTTCTGCAATGTTACGTCTGTGTAGCCATAGGAGAAGAAGCACTGATTTCCGTTGCCATTGATTGTGCACTTGCTTTGTACACAACTGGCGCTTGGAGCTGCGCCCCCAATGATGAGCAAACTCCTACTAGGAGAGGCTGAAGGGGCAGTGATTGCAAGGCTTGCATAGGCTGACGTTCGGACAATGTCGCTCTCGACACTGATCGTTGTGATGGTCACGTCGTTCACGGCACTGTACAGCTGCAGCTCATTGTAAACATAGGCTGTGGCTGGAGAAAACAGCAGAGGAGGAAAGAGCATAAGTTTGTTGATCACTTCGGGCACCACTATCCGGCTGCCATCAGCACTCCGCTAGAGTTGCTCAAGCTCATGACAGCAACATTGAATTGCATTGCCCTGAATTTGCCTGGTGGTTGCGCCCGGATCATGAGAGCTGACAGTGTTTACCAGATATGGTAACCTAAACATAAACTGATCTTGTTGTGTGCGTACAGAAATCAATGCTTCCATGATAGTAGCTAGACACACTTGATGACAACTTAACCATGTTGCAAAATACTGTCAGAAATTTGTGAAGTGCAAGAATTACATGTACTGAAATGAAGTGCCTGAAAGATGCTTTGTGGGATCAGACACAGAGTTGGTGGCATACCTGACTGTAATTTTCTCCTTGCTTGAGCTCCTTCTTGGTAAAGGCTCTGCCTTCTTACCAGATGTGCAATTTCATCAGCTTCCAAAACCACAGCCTGAGCAAATAAGCTGAAACAGAGTAGAAATAGCAGATGAGGATACTTTCGTGAGTCTGCCATCTCTGGTGAAGACCATCAAGCACCATTGGCAACCTTGAAACATGGCCTATGTTGAATGATCAGCACTTTGTAATGCCTTTTTTGATGGTGCTGCTTCTACATTGCAGCCTGTGTAGATCAGGATAGTACTCAAACGAGCGTTTTTCGAATGAGCTGAGCCGCAGCAGCTTGCACAACTCGACTGGTCATAATATACTCGTTATTGCTGCTAGAATGAGAGCCTCAGCTACAATCCCGGCTGCAAACCAGCAAGGCCCCTTAGGGGCCCATCGTCGCCTCGTATGCTTATTTGCAAGCATCCAGTGGAGGGCAATTTGGCTTGTTTTGCTCCTCCTAATTCACATTGGTAGTAAGTCAGACCTGGGCTCAGCCGCTCAGGCGCTCATAGTTTCTGACCTAGATACTACAACTTGGTGCCTCCTTTTCACAGTCTTACTGTAAGTGGCTCGCTTTCTGGGCCATGCTACTTGCTGTACCATGTGAAGAAAGTGGGCAAGCCCGGCATTTCAGCAAGCTAGCCTGGACAGATGGCCTGGAGCTGAGCTGGCATCATTCTGCGGCCTGCCAGGACTCAGGAGCGCCCAGGAGCTAGGAAGTTGGTCACCATGCAGAAGCTATAAAAGCTACAAGTTCAAGTCTGTAAATACAGACCTGGCTGTACCGTATCCTGCCAGGCTAGGTAGGTGTGTAGCTATGTAGGTAGCTGAACCCCTTCACCCCTTCGACTCGGATTTGAACTTGGAAGGCTCCAACCTGCGTTATAAATATTCCGTGTTCCGAGTGTGGTGATTGACTCCCTTGTCGTCGATGCTCGTGCCCTGCCCCAACGGACGGCCTAGATCGGCGGCTGCAGATATGCGCGCGCAGTGAATGCCTGTATGGAAAAGAGATTTACATGGATACAGTGAATATGCGCTGAAATTTCGAAAACGTTCAAACGTGCTTGAACCCCGCCCGGATGCCAACTTTAGGCCAACTTTGGACAAGTCAAAAATCTGAAAATACGAAATGGATCATCCCATGTCCTGAAATCGTGAGGAGGTCACTCTGCAAGTATCATGCCATGATTAGTAAGATCTATGATACTCAAACGGTGTCTAAGCGGAAAAGCATGTCGAAGCACGGCGAAGCTAGCATGCACGAGAAATTGATAAATTGAAGGAAAGGGTGTAGTCGTGTCCGCCTCATTGAACTCACATCATGCATGCCAGGCGTGCATGCTTCACGCATGCTTCAATGAACTGTTGGCATTCAAAATGCAAGAACAACTCGATTGTGCGCATACCACATGCATGCAGCATCTTCCCTTTGCAAAGGCGTGCTTTATTCACAAATAAGAATCACATATACCATGACCGACTTCCAACATCACTTTGTAAGAACATCAACTTCTCGTGAATTAAGCATATGAGTCACCATTGCCATCCTTTTTAGTTCATAAGGGGCTTCCAACGGGCTTCCGACTGATAGGTTAGGTGGCCACTTGGAAACTTCAAAGGCGATTGAAAGAACCACACCATATACTTTCTTTCAGGTGCTGCGAACATCCACCGGCTCTCAAAATAGAGTTGACTTTGCTATGGAAAGCTTCCAATGATCGAGCTTCTGACCAGAATAGAACCTTTTCAAGCCTTTGAGAAGGTCCTACTCTGGTCAGAAGCTTTTCCACACTATTTAACAAAACTTCGATGCCACTTATCTACGTTTCCCTCCCTTGACCCACTTGTATACGCCATAACCTCCAGCACCTACCGCAGCAACACCTATTGCAAGAGGTGCCCCAACGACCGCCCCCGTGCCCATGGATACGCTTTGACACACGGCATATGTGGACCCTGCCACAACTCCGCCACCATTGGCGGTCGCAATAGCGGACATCCAAGATGCCGCGTAAGAGCCGGCAACTGGGCCGGCTGCCGAGAAGCCGGCCGCCTTCAAGGCCAAACCGGCTCCAACATTGGCTGCCGCTTTGACTACCATGGATGCTCCCAAAATGCCACCAACCCTCTTGGCAGTCCCGACGGCTGCGTCCTTCACGCCATCAATACCTGAGAAAAAACACTATCACTCCTTTAGTTGGTCAAAGTATGCATAATTTCCTCCGAGTCTTGAATCTTCATGGTCGCGCATATGCTCTGTTGCACCTGTCACCAAACCATAGCTTCTATGTGACAAGGACTCACTATCAATGACCAAGTCTGACTTGCTCTTGATTAGCTTTAAATTATGTGCCCTTTTATTGAACTCACTAAATAAGGGACCCCGCAGGCCTAAATGAAAGTCTTGCAATTGGTCTGCAATTGGCAATTGCAGACCACTCTCACCAGTGGTGGGAATTCTAGATACACGAGGGTTGAAACAGAGCTCTTTAAGGTGGACTATTGCTGGCTGAGTTGCAGAAGATTAGGTATTCCAACAAGTCAGGCAGGTAAAGGAAACGATATGCCACATCACCAGATGGGTTTGATGCCAGCAACTTCTCAGTATCCGAATCTGCTTCCTCGGACAGCCTAGATAGCAACCTCATCTTGGTCAAAGGTCCGATGATGACGAAGATGGGCAGTGGCTGCTGTCACCACACTGAGAGTAACTATAGCAGCTTGACAAGCGATTGCATAAATGCACATGCAGGTACAGCCTTGTTGATGGGATCGGATTCAGCATTAAGAATCCTCAGTATAAGGCGTCAAGATGGCCCTAACAATAGCTCAACGAATCCGCAAAAAGATGCGGACAAAATGTGGAGGGCATGGCCAGTGGTCGCCAATACCTGACCCTTTGTCCAACCCAGCGATGGTCAGGGTTCATATGCTGAGTTAGGTTGACAGCACCACAAATAGAGCAGCGAGACAATCTGACACGTAGGGGAACAAGGACAAACAGGACAAAGAGGACAGAGCTGCTACACTCCAGATCTACACGAACCATACAAGGTCCTCCACATTGAAGCAAAAGGTCCCAGCCAGGCGTACTACGCCTGATGCGCCAGAGATTGCGCAGTCCTGAAAACTATTTCCTACAATGCCGTCGAAACCGCTTCTGACAGGTGCTCATAGTCCAGGAAATGACCAACTTTCTCCTCTCCACACCAAGTGTCTGACTGTATGACTGGCTGGCTCAAAATGCTGCACTGAAAAGGGCTTATTACCCCAAAGGTGAAAGGATGGGATGGCCTCGGAATGGCAAGATGGGGCCGCCTCGGAGTGCTCCATGCAGAAACTGCAGTGTCGTTCAAACTAGCGTGACTACCTTTGGGTGAAGGAGGTTCCAAATGCTGCAACAGTGGAGAAGACTTGAAGCGTCGTTAATACAATGCAAAGCGAGCCTCTCACCCATATCTTGACTCCTGCGGCGGCCCAAGAAGCGCCGGCAGAGATCCCGCCCTTCGCCTTCAGACCTTTCGATGGCCAATGGCCGATAGAATATGGGGCATTCCCCCCCACACTGCCACAGTCCCTTCGCCTAATAGGCTCAGAAGAGGCTCAGAAGCAAGGCTGTCACGAGCTGCTCTCGAAGAATGGCCCCAGTGCACGATGTGATCTCGCGACGAGCTTGTTGAAAGGCTCACTGCTCAGGGATCCCGCCAATTGAAGGGACTGAAAGTACCGCCGGCCAAAGTGCCGTTCCCTCTGTAGACGCGCTGAATCGCTCGCTAGCAATCACATTATGTGACATGAGATGTAGGAGCGTCAAGACGGCGCGCTCTGTCGTCCAGTTATCGCGGCGACCGCTGTGAAGGGGAGTCGCTCTCCGAGAGAAGCGCAAGGCCAGCGTTCACAAACTTTTGAAAATCTTCTTGCAATTGGGCCGACAAGCCGCTGATCAGAAGTCATTCAAAGCTGGCAAACATGCGATACAGGAGCGGCTATGAAGCGGGTAAAACCTAGCAGACGCTAACAATCAGAAATAATGTATGTTGGGTGAAGAAAACGAAATCCCAAGATGTCTTTGATTGGTGAAGCGGTATGGACAAAGGGCACGCTGCACTTGCCGGCTGGAAGATGTAGCTGGGGAGAAGGATCAAAGCGGCACTGGCCCGCTCTAGTCCCTAGAGGACCTAGTTTGCAGATAACGTATGCAGTTACAGTACCGCCTCCACCGCAACGCCTGCAATACAGCTTGTGGGCAAATCAAATAAAGCAGGATTGCCCAAGCGGACAGCTTGTGAACCGGGTGCGAGGATCCAAGCAAAGACAGCTTTGCTTTCGCAGATGTCAGCCAATCAAGGCCAGTCAGGATGATTCAATTCACGCCCCGCAGAATGAAATTACCAGGAAGGATGACCCAGATCATTCTGCGCCGATGGGGCTTTCCACCCGGGTTACCGCAGATGTTAACCTTGGGTCAACAGCTACCAGCCAAGAGCACCACCACCACCGTGGTTTCGGAACCCGGTTACGCAGGCATGTAAACAAGAGGGCGGCCAACATTCTGCACACATTCAGAAAAGAGGAGAAGATGAAAGTGGAGTATGCCAATGAGGAGGAGGAGCTCGCGGCGCTGACTGAGCAGCGGTACAAGCTGGCGTCGGGGCTCAAGAGGACGCTGCTACGGATAGGGGTCTGCTTTGTGGGTGAGTGAAGATTGCCCCAGATCACTCCTATGTGAAAGATCGTGGTAAAGTTCAGTGGGTTCTGCATTGCTGGGAAAGACAGTTCCTCCTGCGTTATGACCTGTGTTTGTTGTTTAGAAAGATCAATCTGCGGGTACAGCTATGACCAATTCTGGGTCGATTCAGACCCAGTCTGTGATGCTTGATTGTTTTGTTTGGCTGGTAACATAGCCACAGGTTCTTGCTGGCTGGGATGGGGAAGCATCCGGTAATCAAAGCTGGTTAGATGTCCGTTAGGTGGCCCTTCTACCGTGTGCGAGCATGGGTAAACTTTGCGTGTCCATTTACAAGCACATAAGGAGGACATACGTCCTTTGTGTGAACTTTCTTCTGTCGCCAGGAAGATTGCTCTCAGTCCAAAAGGCTGTTGGCAACAGGCACAGCATCTTTGCTGAGCTTTGGTTAGAAAGTCTTATTAGAGAGCATCGTTGAGGGCTCTGTTGTCCTTTATAACTTGAGCATTGTGCACGTTTTCAAAACAGTAAGTCATAAGTTGCACGCTTACAGTTTTTTTGAACTTTTTGTTTGAAGCACGTCGGATCACAAAGGTCTTCTCAGATGCACATTAGCTGTAAATAGCGCCTGAACGAAATCATCAAGATCTCTGTACAAGGCCTTCCCGAAGTTTTTCTTCTTTATGGAGTCGACAGACGACACGTTCTTCTGATTGGGGCCCCCATTATACCGTCAGACCTGTTGGGGCTCTAAAACCAGTTCCGATGCTTGCGACAAACAGCACCTAAGGAGGCAAAGCTTCGATGGCCCATCACGGAAATCAGTCTGTCTTGTCATTCCTTGTGTGGCGCAATCTTCCTGGCGCTTTGACATTCTTTTGTGACTGTTTCCTTCTGGTTTGAAGGCGATTCTGGCCGTTGCTGCCGAACGGCCCTTGCCTTGTTCTCCAACCGAGCGCCGCAGTCCTCTGTCCACTGTCCATTAGCATTTGGTCTCTAGGCACCTCATCTGGCTGCATCGACTCACACACGTTCTGAATCTTTCCTTGGCCTTCTCGTTCACTTCAACTCTTCAGTTCGGCAATGCTTTTGTTCCCCCCTGATTTTACTCCTTGGGCCCTGGAGTTCTGGCCGTACAAGTTGCAGCTCTTTCATCTCCCCAGTAGTCCCACTCCTCTTGCCTGCAGTTCTGGCCAAGCAATTTGCAGTGTTCTATTGGCTCCTGATCCTACTCCTCGTTCCCTGCAGATCTGGCGTATCAGAGTACAGTTCTCAAATTCTCCCCTTATCCTACTCCTCTTTTCTGCAGTTTTGGCCGTTTGGTTTGCAGTTTTTCTGTTCTCCCCTCATCCTACTTCTCTTTCCTGCAGTTCTAACCGTTCAATCTGGCCATTTTCTATTCCCTGATCCTACTCCTCTCTCCTGCAGTTTTGGCCGTTCAACCTGCACCCTTCTATTCCCCCCTAATCCTACTCCTCTTTCCCTACAGTTCTGGCCGTGATCAAGATCCTCAACTCGCTCCGGGAGGCCTTGTTAGTGACCCCGGTCGACTATTTCAAGCTGGTCGGAGTGCTCAGTTCCCTGGACTACTGGGCCCTCGCGTTCCTGGTCTTTGACATCCGGAACACCATCATGGAGATTGAGAAGAATGACGTGGAAGGGGACCCGACAGTGTAAGGCTGTTACCCGTTTTCCATCTTCCAACACCCAAAACCAGGGACTGTTGGTTTCCGTTTGTTAGTTGGTTATCAGGTTGACTCAGTTACCAGATTGGTTCACCGCAACTTGCTGTGGAGACAATCGTAACATCGTCGAAGGAAGCGACAAGAAAATGGGGTTCTCGAATGATGTCATCCTTCATGAAAGACTCTTTTGCTGAGTTCCGCTGCAAAGGAAGCTCTCGAATCGATCGAGCATCACCATCGACCGGGCAGGCAATGCTTGCTTTTCCGTACGGCTCTCGAAAGTGACAAGAGTACGCCTTCCATCGTTGCATTGAGACTGAATCTCTGGAAGATCGATACGAAGGCTTTCTTTCACTTCTTAAGACCAGCAGAGCTTCGAACCCGTATTCTTCGTGTTTTCCAGGCGGGTGTTGGAGCAGGAAAACGTTGCGATCGGCATCTCGTTCGAGAAGTTCTTCAAGCGCATGTTCAAGGTCCTTTCCGCGATCGCCTTTGCTCAATTACTGGGCGTCCTCAGCGTCACGGGTTTTCAGCTCGCCCCCGATGTGGATAACGGCTTACGTCAGCTTTGGGGTTTCGTGTCCCCGCACTTGTGACGTCAGAATCAGGAGGGCTGTTTGATGGTACATGAGGCGAAGGAATACCATGCATATCTGCACCTGGGTGCATCCTCCGCTTCTATAGGCTTTGTACAGAAGACTACAGGACTGTAAGCATGTGGCTCGAGCGTTGTAAATAGAGTCAGAGTTGCCTACCCGTCTCTAGCTAGTCTGCAGTTGCACCGCATGGCTCCCTGAATATGTACTCTGACCTTCGAGACTGCGTTTCTCAAGTGGCTCGACTGTGGGGGCCGAAAGTTGGGGCCCGACCGCGGCCCGACGCACTCTTATGCTCGTAAGCTAGCTACTTCTGATCAGTTTGATCGGACGCATTGACGGTAGCCTATTATCGTCTTCTGAATTTGACTTTCATTCAGACAACGGGCCATGTACGATACATACTTATAATTGCTGCCGCCATGGCCGCAAGCCACGGTCTTAGGCCGTGCCGCACCGTATGATGGAAAAGAGCGTTGCGCGTACATGCCCGTATTGATCATTTCCTGATCGACGCTTTGCTTTTACTAGCTCTGTCAGTGTCTGCCTGGCGCTCTCGGCGACACAGGCCTTGCAACTATTTGCACCCACTTCACATGTCGAGTTTTGCCAGCCAGCACGATCTACAGGATGGACTCAGAATGCAACAAGCATCCGACTTGCAAGTCCCGGCAAACTGGAGCGTTTGGTCAATAGGCAGCCTGTTTCGACGTACCATGTGTCCGCTTTCAACCGCTTTGCCGCCTGTGCATACAACCTGATATTGCATTCAACTGCCGGCGAGCTTGTTTATTGCATGGTTGGCCAGATTCATAAGTCATCATTCTGCACAAAGTCTTTTCAGTCCAACTTCAGTCCAAGTTTAAGACTACCTACATGCACGTACTGTCTCCAATGATAATGTGTTCTCAAATGATGCCGCCTAGCCGGATGGCACGTATGCGACCACATGCATGGCCCGGGCCGCCAGCATCCATGCAGGATCATGCATGACGCTCCGGTCACATGTGATGTAAGTACGTGACTGCGTCCTAGCTGCGCACTGCATCAGACTAACGAAGTCA